ATAACTATTTCATTTCTATAATTTATAAAAAGTATATAAAATATTTTTCTCGTTTAATTAAAAAACAAAATATAATATTTTACATAATTTAGATATAAAAAAAAATATTTTTTTCCAAATTACATGTTTTAAATACTCTATATTTTGTAAGTTGATGGATGTGAACGAATTTATAATTAACAAAACATAAAATTATTGATTTTTAACGAATACAGTATGAAGGTTAACACACATATATCTTCATAGTAAAATATTGTTTGTTTTAAGTTAAATCTTTATAAATTTGCTTTTGATATAAGATCTCTTATTAATAAATAAACAATATAAAAGAAAGAGTATTATTTTATATAACCATAAATATAAATGGAGGATGGAATAAATTTATGTAAACATTTAAAAAATAAAGACAAAGCACATGGTATTGAAGAGTATAGTAATATATGCAAATGCAGAGAAGATAACGTGGTGGCTGCCACAGTGATTAATGCATAACAAAAATTTGCTGAAAGAGTGAGTCATGATGAGCTAAGCCATGAATGGTGACAGAGAAAAGGAAAAATATGCGTTGATAGTGTAAATGATGGTGGCATGACAAAAGATAAGGATGGAAGGAATGGAAAAGAAATAGAAATTTCAAAGTGTTTGCTTCTCAACACACAAAAGGGAAAGTTGCCATGAATGGGTATCAGAAAAACATAGCAAAAAATTCAGCATGCATGCTTCTATGATGTAGTTTATTTACCTTAAAATATCTTCTCCTGTTTAGAACGTTGTCAACAATCTTTTCGCTATCATTTACATTTCCATGTTTATTATATCTCACAGTGTTTGCCTTCAGAATCATCATTAAATCATCCACATAAAACACATCGCTAATTTTCATTAATTTAACCAATTAAAAGTTTAAGTCACCAATCAATCATTATTATATTTCAAATTATATTTTAGGTTTGATATATATTTTTTTTATTAAATTTATGTCATTTGAAAGATGTTATTATCAAAATTAAAAATATTTTAAAGTATAAAATAATTCAATTTTCTTTTGGCACACGATAGATTTATATTATATTTTGATTTATGACATATTTAGATTTTGGAATGCGATATTTTTTAAATAAAATTAATGTCATTTTAAATATTTTTTAAAAATAAAAACTCAATTGAATTATAATTAAATATATTTTGTCATAAATTTTTACACAAAATTAAAATTCATATATATTCTAAATTTTGATATAATTTAATTCTCAAAACTTTATAAATAAATAAATATAATCATCTTAATTCAACCACAATAAATAATTTTAATATATTAAATTAAGTTATTTTAACTAATATTTAAAAAGTTTACATTATTTATGTTATTTTGAAATGTTATCCAATAATTAAAAAAGAATAACATTACTAAATTAAAAAAAATATATTTATTTAATTTAAAATTTAAAATATATCCAAAGTTAAAATAATAATAAAAAATAATAATAAAAAAAAAAAAAAAAAAAAAAACAAAAATAAATAAAAAAAAAAAAAAAAAAAAAAAAAAAAAAAAAAAAAAAAAAAAAAAAATAAAAATTAAAAAGATAAAAATTTTAAAGGAAAAAAAAAAAAAAAAAAAAAAAAAAAAAAAAAAAAAACAAACAAACAAAAAAAAAAAAAAAAAAAAACCCCATTTTTCTGTCACATCACATCACATGCAGATACCATTGAATCGAATTCAATTCCCTAAACTACACAGTTCGCAGTGTTCATAATCAGAAGTTATGGCAGCTTGAAAGATCGTACCTTGTAAGTTCTAACACAGTAACCCAAAACAATAAAAACCTTTCTACCTTACTTTCTTTACATGTGTGAACTTTGAACCCGACAACATACATTGTTCTCGCAGATCAAATAAATACAACTATAAAATTCCAATGACTTAAACACATGCATTTTCCCACCACTGTTTCTCTGTCTCCCCTGTTTTTATCAGATTTCCAAAATCACTTCCATATCGTAGCTGCAAACGGGCTTCCGGAAGAACCATCACAGAAACATAACCATCCATTCATGCTTCAAAACAAACACACTAACGTTATTTTTTTCTTCTTCATGTTTATCATTGTCCTTTACAATGTAATGTCGTGTCATGAGAAATAATATCACGATGAGATGTGATGATGTACAATTATTTATAATCTGCAACTCTTTTAGTACCATAAATTGGCTCTACGAAGCATCACGACAACATGCGAAGCCTATGCCTACCATTTTCCACTTTAGCAACTCTTTCATTCCTATTTTCGATGCAGAGTAAGCATGGCTTAATTTTTTTAATAATAAAAGAAAACCTCAAAACGATGTGTCGTTTTCGCCAGAAGCACTTTTTTTTACCTTACGTAACGCAGACTTTTCCGACGATAACCTAGCTATTATAATAATAATACAGTGATAAATAAATAAATAATAAAAAAAGAATAATGAGGTTTACCGTTTTACGTTGTGGATGACGACCTAAGAAGTCGTTTTGTAAGGTGTGAGGTTGACGACGGTCTCTGAGAACGAGTGGCGCGTTTCAACGGTTCGACCACCGAGTCTCTGAACCGGTACGGCAACGCTTGGTTCCTCCCTCGCTTGGACCGGACCACCGGTTCTCTCTCCTCCAAAACGTCGCCGTATATATCAACAACCACCCACCTTTCTTTCCGTTTCTCTTGATTTCCTTTCAGAGTCGTTGACTCGGTACCGAGTCCCCTCTCTTCCTCCGAGTCGGACTCGTCTTTTCCAGAGACGACTCTCGCCGCTTCTATAAGCAAATCGAGAAAATTACTATCGCATCCCTGAAACGACGCTGTTTGAACGTCGTTAACTTCGTTGTTAAGATTTTGGTTGTGGTCAAGTTTCTCTGAAAGTTGAAAGCTCTTATCTGGAAACCCTTCTTCTTGCTCTTCTTCGATGCTGTTTTGAAGCGTGGCGGAGGCGCTGTCGGTTCTAGAAGATTCTGATTCCGTGAGGGAAGAGAATCTGAGATTCAAATCGATGCCAACCCCTTTGCTGGGAAAGGATTCTTGTTGTTCTTGCCGTTGTTCTGTAGAGGGTGGAGTGGAAGAAATTATGTGGAGAATTTTGAAGAAGCACATTTGGGTCTTCGAATAGCCGCGGCACAAGGAAGCCATGAAGAAACTTTTATTTTTTTCTCAGCGAACGGTTTTATCGATAGAGTTGTGGGTGAAATCTAAGCTTTGATGACGCTGATGTGAGTCTTTTGCAGGGAAAGAGAATTGGAAGAAGATTCTGGGCAATAAAACCTTTATTTGTTATGTTTTTTCAAAATTATTAAAATTATTACCTTTTGTTGGAGAGAGAAGGTGACAACAGGGATGCTTTTTCTTCTTCTCCTTCCCAATCTTATTTTATTTGGTTCATAATTTTTTAAAAATAATATATATATATTTTAAAAACAATAACACAAATAATTATTTAAAGATCATAATTTGAAGACAACAATTATTTAAATATGACGCAAAACATTCGTTTTAGAGCTTAAAAAAATAAAAGTCTAAAAAATTAGTATTAATATTTATTATTAAATTAATTATAAAATTATGTTTAAGAAAAAAATTCAACACATATTATTTAGTATTAATATACTCTATTAAATTAGTGATAAAATTATATTTTAGAAAAAAACTTAACTTTTATAGTATTAATATACTTTTATAGTATTAATTATATTTTATCTTTGGAAATGAAATTTAATTAAATTATTATTAATGTCTAATTTTTTTATATCAAAAATAATATTTAATGAGTTAATTTTTAAAATAAATTGTAATTTTGTAAAGAAGAAAAAACTCATTGGTTATTTATTAAGTTATAATCAATTTCTTTTTTATTTTTTCTTTTATTTTTAAGTGGTTTTTCATATACTAATATACTCATTACATTTCTTTTATTTTCTTTTATTTTAGAGTATTTAAGTTTTAACTTATTACATTTCTCAAATATTTCAAGATATTTTTGTTTCTTATTTATGATTAATATATATATTTTAATTTGTATTAATATTATTTTTATTTTATTGTTTGATGTAAAGAAATAAAAAATGTTATTTTAGAAATAATAATAGTTTAAAAATAACGAGAATCATTTATTTTAATATTAGATGATTTTGATATGAATAATTTTGTAAAGAATAATTTCATTATTTTAAAACATCCAATATTTCAAAAAACTACTTTCTTATATCTTTCTAACTTTTATTTAGTAGATCTCATCTCTTATTCATTTACTTGAAGAAGTGAATACCTAACTGATTATCGTAATCTTTAAGTCTAACAAATCATATTTTCAAAGTAAGTTGATTTTCTATTCCTTTATTTGGTCAGTTTTGTTTTTCTTATATGCTAGCTACCTTTGTTTTCGTGAAGTTTGAGTTTTATATAAGACTCTATGCTAATTAGTGGTTCTAACGGAAAACTCTGATTGTGTTTTTGCGGTTCGTAGGAGTAAATAGATTTTTTTGTAAGTTGAAATTGTTTTAGGATTTTTAAAACAGTTTGGTCTTTTGTCATATAAAGGAAGTTAATACTTGTTTTATTTTATGTTAAAAAATATGAAATTATGTTTGCTAGGTTGGGAGAATGATGTTTGATTGAATGTTATTATTTGAGACGATTATTTGGTAATAATTGTATATGATGCGTGAAGTTGGATTATTGATGAATGATTGTGAATTGGTACTCCCTTGAACCTTGAATGATGTTGTTTTAGAGTCTTGAGAGGTCTAAATCTGTTACAATGTTGATGATAGTAAATATAGAGTGTTGATGAGTTGGTTTCCGATTTAAATTGGAATTTTGGTAGGTGAAGTTTTATAAAAATGATTTTGGAGCTATAATTGATGTTTGTGAGCTATTTTTAGGTTATTTCAAACTTGTCTATAACTTCAAATAACCATAAATTTGATGTTGGGTTGGTAAATAGTTAATAAGTTGAGTTTGAATTGTTTTTGGTTCATTGTTAAGAGTTTTAATAGATAAAAATCTAGAAGAACAAATGTTTTAAGTGAAGATTTAAGGTTTGTTTATAACTCAATTGTAATTTGTTTAAATTTTGATTTATAATGTGTAGAAATTGTTTCAAGTGTTTTAAGTTTATCTAATGCATATATTAAATAATATTTAAAATCATAAATTTAAACAAAATTATAAAATTAAAAAATAGTGACTTTTTTGCGTGAGATAAAACAGATCATATAATAATTGTAAATGGTGTGAGCATATTAAAACTAAAAATAAAAGTAAAAGAGCATTATTTATTGCTGCCATGTGTATTGTGTGATTGAACCTTACAAAGCATTAGGGTTTATTTTATTTTATTTTGTGATTGAAAATGTTGTTTGGGATGTAATGTAATGAGTGTCCCTTTGTGCAGTTGAGGAAGGTTGTCGGAGGGTAATTGGGTTGAGACAAACATGTCATGAGATGCGACACGTGGCAAACTGGGATTACTGAAATAAAAAACAGAAAAAGAGTCTGCAACTGGCCTTGGCCCCCCTCCACGCAGTGTGCAAATATACTTCTTTTCTCTCTCTCTTTTCTGAACTCTTATGTTATGCCTCAATCTCAACCACATTCACCACCATCCCCATAACTTCATCCTTCTATTTACTCTATTTATTTAGGGCAATAATGCTTTGATTTTTTCCAATATTTTAATGAAATACATATATTATTTTCTTATATTAAATTTAGAGTATGTTAATGAGATAATAAATAAACGGTTAAATACGTTTTTAGTCCCTAAATTTGGTCCTCATTCTTTTTGAAACTCTATTTTAGTCCTCGAAAATTACCACATTTTTTAACGGTGTTAGTTTTCAAGGACTAAAACCAAAATTTTGAAAAACGGTCAATAGTTTAGGGACTAAAAATATATTTAACCCATAAATAAATAATAACTTGTTTCGCTATTAGTCAAGAATCACACCTTCACAATTTTATCTCACATGTTTATCAATTTGGTTTTTCTCTCTTTTTTAGTATGTTTGTTTCCTCCTAGTTCAGTTCAAATCGGAACAGTTGTTATAGACACTTTAATACTTAAGTTAAATTTACATTACCAAATCGACTATCACAATTAAATGTTAAATGTTCAATAAATATTATCATCTACCTCTTTTCTTTACCTTTATATATATAAGCTTCCAAGTGGATCTTTTCGATTAAGACTTATCCAATTACCACCCAATATCTTTTTAAACGTGATTTTATTTGCTAATCATAAAATAAGATCATTGTATCATACGGTTGTAGCTTTAAAATTTCACCATTCAATGTAAATAAGAATTGACTTTTCTGTATCGATCAATCCTTACATTACATAAACTAATAAAACATAATACGTACAATATATTAAAGTATTATTAAAAGATTTATATTAAAATATCTTTTTTACTAACTAATAAATAATGATAATAATATGATGAAAAATATTTATATTTATTTGGCACATACTTTTAAGATAAAATAATCATGACAAATTAAATTTTTATACTTTAAAAATAAAATATAAAATATAGAAAATATTAATATCAAATAAATATAAAAAATTTATATATTAGCATATAATTTCTTATTAAAAAATTTATGAAGAGATTGGTACGATGCAAAAAGATGTTTCAATTCAATCTAATGTCTAGAGATTGAACAATGAAAAAGTGAAATATTTAAATTTTTTATTTGATACACAAATTAAATTTCACTTATAATCTTTTTAGTTATTAAAAAGAAGACATCCAAAAACATACAGTGATGTTGGAGAAAAGAATTGAAGAGAGGATAGAGAGGGTGGTTAGAGTAGGGAACATAACGCAACTGTGGTGGAGCCTACTTTCTTTATGCCAGAGAATAACCTTTTTATTTCACTTAATTTTAGAAAAAAATCATTTAGTACAAAATTAGTAAAACTAATTATTCTTATTATTTTATACCAGTAAAAACATATCCTATATGTGTAGTTATGTATATGTATATTTCCTTTTTTATAACAAAATATAATAAAATAATAATTATAAAAATAAATATAAATAACTTTTACAATTTAATTATAAATAATTTTTATTTATTTAATTTAGAAAAATAATTAAATTAAAAAATACTTAGTTTAAATAAAACGATCATTTAGAAAAATGAAAAAATGTACACAAAATAAATTCCCTTCAAGGTATAAATAATATATATGTATGTGAAAATGATTAAAAAAAAGACAAATTAAAAAGTAGAAAAAATGGTCATACACGATATGCTATTTTACTTTTTCTATTTTTTAAATAATAAAATTCTCACTTTCATATTTTTCTGCATTGGGATTACTATTCTCACCGGACTATCTAATAACAGAGGCTGTGTAATTTCTTTATACAAAATATAAAAAAAAAAACTAAATACATATATTATTGGAAGTATAATGATACAGAAAGATCTTCATTTTATATTTTTCTCTTTTTATCACATCATATAATCATACATATCATTTTTATTCTGTGTTAAAATACCTATTTAATATCCGTGAATATTTTTGTTATAAGAACGTGACAGTTAATTTTGTTATACTTAAAAATAACATTTTAATATATATATATATATATATATATATATATATATATATATTTTAAAATGTATATATTATATTTGATGTTACTGTTTTGTAAGATGTTTTTGTTTATACTGTTTTTGATATGACATGTTATGGACTGGAATCGGATGAGTGGTGGTTGGCAAACAAAGTTCATCATAGCTTACAAGGAATCAAGGTAGAAGGTAGTTGAACTTTTACTTTCCACCTTTAATTTCTCAAGTACTACTATTTCATAGACTCATAGCTGCTAAATGTTGAGTATCAAGTCAAACTTTGTTAAAACTGTTGGGTTTTACCCGTTAACTTTTCTTATTACTCTGTTATTTCGTTTTTGTCTGTTGGATTATATGTTGCATTGTATAAAAAGCTGCATTGGCTTTTTATCTAATATACGAAGTATTCCTTTCAATCTTTCTCTGCTGTTAGAAGTTCTCTTCCAATTCTCCAACAGAATTGGTATCCAGAGCCAGGTTGTGTATAGACCTGTGGTGCTTCAAGAATATCATAACACAGTGCGGTGTGTCTGTGTGTGGCTGAAGCAAGAAGAGAAAAGGTGACTGTCAAGAATTGAGTTCTTGCAGAGTAGGTGTTTGAAGAATGGCCGGAAGCGATATCTCCACAGCAAATCTTCCAAT